GTAGTGATGGTTGGGCTGTTCTCTGTTTGCTCCCGTCTCCGGGGACTGGAGGGCTTCAGCCTTCGCCTAGGGGAGGGCGTCAGCTCTGTCACAGTTCGGCGCTGAACAGCCTGGGCTGCGTGCCCGGGTGTGGGTGTCCCTGCGGTTCCTCGTGAGTTGTTTCTCTATGGAGGCCTGAAAGACAGTGTACTCGCTGCGCTGGCGTGGCGGTACAGCTGTCAGGCATTGCATTACTTGAAAAACGCAAACAAACCTTGCGCTTCCTTTAGTTATTGCTGTCCAAACAGAAGCAGGCTTCTGGCAGTTACTGAAGAAAACAAAACTTTGCCTACACATACCTACTCACCTCTCTGGGCTGAGCTGTTTAAATCAGGCAGACAATGGTTCGGCTGTGTTGTTGACTGTGTTATTAGGTGTTGCATCTTTGAATTCTGAGTAGCTTTCATCCTAAACCCAGCTGAAAACATTTGAAGTGAATATAAGCTGGTTTGTGTTCTTTCTAAAGGCTTTAAAAAACATTTAGTTTGCAGGTCTCGCAGATGTGTCGATATCCGAAGATATTCCAGTGGAAGGGGAGATCACTGTTCCTGTTGGATCTCACTCTCCTGATGAAGACTATTCCACCCTGGATGAGCCTGTCAGGGATACTATTGTGAGTCTGTGCCTCTATCCAGGGTAAACCACATGTTTTGCTGATATCTTTGGCCAGCTGTTATGCAGAAACTGTATTTTTGCATAGCTTTGCTTCACTTGTACTTCATTTTAAGTTTGGGTGTTTGGTTTTTTTTTTTAGAACTAGCTATGTAAAATGAATTCTTGTGGGTGAAAAAATATCCGAATTATGGCCCCAAATTTCCCTGTGATCTCAAAATCTTTGCAAAGATAAAGGCCTCACGTGGAGCTTGGGAGAAAACGGTTCTGGCTAATAGGATTTTTCATTAATTTTCTTTTCCTGGAGGAGCAAACAAATTGTTGTTCTTAATAGGGCGTTATTAAAGGATAAAATATTGTGGCTGTTAAGGAATGTAGAAAAAGTGTGTAGCGTTAGTTGCAGAGGACACTACGGAAATTTTTGTCTTGGATCCTGTCTTGATTTGCCATCAATACTCCTTTATTTCTCTCTTTCTGCTTTGAGTTGTGAACTGTAATTTTTATGAAGGGGTAAATTAAAGCATTCCTACTTTATTCCAGATGAGAGATCTGAAGGCGGTTGGGAAGAAATTTGTCCATGTCATGTATCCGAAAAAGAGTAGCGCGCTCCTCAGAGACTGTACGTATAAGAAGACTTTCAAAACCTAGAAAGGATGTTTTGCAAACAGACTGTGCCTCCGTGGGAAAAGGAAGAGTTGAGTGGGCAGGGCTTCAGAAGTGCCTGTCTCGTGTTCTTTCTGTTGTTGTAGATCACAGGTGTGAAAAATAGGAGTGTTACCAAGGCTCTTTGAAAGTGGCATATGTGCCAGAATGTGCAGAACAGGTAGCTTTAGCGGTTGAATAAATCATATTGTAGAATATGGTGTAAGATGCTAAATAAGAAAATTATAAGGCCATTTGATATGAAAATGATACATCAGGAGTTGGAAAAGGTGCTTTATTACTCCCAGGAAAATGAAACCAAGCGTCATTCTGTGATATTAATGATGATTTTTTTTTTCCTTTACCTACAGGGGATCTTTGGGGCCCTTTGGTGCTTTGTGTCTCACTTGCACTGTAAGTACTTTCAGTGGGTGGGTTCGGGTTTTTATGGTCTATTACATTGGAGAAATGAGAAATTAAAAATGTCTGATTACGTGTGTTGAGATAAAGTTCTTCTGATCCTTCTCTGGTCTTCTGCAAATGCTGCCTGTTTAGATTCTCTTATATAATGTATTTGTGACACTTCAAGCCCATTAGAACCCCTCCGTCTTTAAGGATTTAAGGGTGAACTCTTCCTGATCCCCTGTCTGAGGAATTGTTTTCCTGAAAGGCATCCTGATTTGCGTTGTCAGTGATTCTAACGTGTTTGGCCAACGTTGGCCCTCGCCTGCAGGCCAAAACGTCTGTCTAGGAGCTGCAGCGTATGTGCTACATATCTTGGAGAGGCGATGGAAAAAATGAGGCCGCTGTAGGAAGTCCTAGATGAGAGGTGATGGAGGCTCCCAGGAGTTTCTGGTGCTCCGCTGGGGTGTACGTCTGCAGATCTGTCTGGGGTGAGATGGAAATGTCAGTGAGATCTGTCAGCTGGTTGAGGCACACCTATGTACTCAGTGCGCAGAAACCAGCCCATCAAATGTTGGTCAAGCTCTAGCAGAAGCAGACAGTGTAATTTAAATGTTCAAATCAGTGGATGCTCACTTTTCCAGGTTGGCGTTGCTTGTGTCCTGTAGTTGTTACAAGCTTTCCTTGAGCCATGCACTACACTGCCTGCTTTGACAGGTGACCAAATTTTGGGTGCTCTACTTTTCATCTTTTAGCCTGTTGTCTGTGGTTTTATTCTCCTCTGTGTGCTTACACAGTCCTTGGAACAAGTAAACAAACGGAGTGAAATGCCCTCCATTGAGCCACAACCATTTTCCTTTCCTGTACAAAACTGAGGATGCTACTGAAAATAAGAACAGATGAAAACAATGGGTCTGCAGCCTGACAGGGAATCAATGTTTCAGGCTCGTCATCTGTTCTAAGTCTATGAAAACTCAAATTACTCCTTTTATCTGTTATCTACCACAGGATGCTTCAGGGTGGATCAGCAGACAGTAAAGATGACGGAGGGCCCCAGTTTGCTGAGGTCTTTGTCATCATCTGGTTCGGTGCAGTTGTCATCACACTAAACTCAAAGCTTCTTGGAGGAACTATGTGAGTGCTGGTTTATTTAGTCGCAGTTAAAGTGCTCCTACGCATGGAGTTTCTGCAATGCTCTGGCTTGACTGCTTTTTTCTCCATTTCTATCTCCTTTGCAGATCTTTTTTTCAGAGCTTGTGTGTTCTGGGTTACTGTGTCCTGCCCCTGACAGTAGCAATGCTGGTGTGCAGGCTGGTACTGTTGGCAGGCTCTGGGACCATCAGCTTCATTATACGTCTCGTTGTTGTTGTAGCCATGTTTGGTTGGTCAACGCTGGGTGAGTACCTTCCAGCGCCGCTGTGCACACCAAGCAGCGCGGTGCTTGAGCAGGTGGATGTGCACGCATTTGTTGGGCAAAGCCAGTGGGTGTTGCAGTTGGAGATGTTCTCTAGGCTGCTGAAGCGGTGTGGAAATAGTTCTTCCAGTCCTTGTGTTGGCAGAGTTACAGCCTCTGCTGATGCTTCTGTGTGGTTTTGTGGCCCTGTGCAAGTTGCCTTCAGCAGAAAGATGATCGTTTAATATTGAACCCCCTGTGAGCCTGCTGAGTGTTTGTTCTGTGATGGATGTTACAAATACCATTAGAAGATGCTGATTTCATACAGATGCATTTGCATTGTTTCTCCTGATCTTAATCTGTAAGTGACTGTTGTCACAGAATGTTAATCAGTGTTTATCTTTCTTTAGGATAAAGTTTTAATTGGTGGTTATGGACTGTTGGTACCGAGTGATGGATTACTGTTTTCTCTTTCAGCATAACTAATGCAGCTCCTAATTCAAAATCGTTAACGTCTGCGGTGGATCTTAGACTTTTTTAGTTTTATGCTGCTCACATTTCAAGTATTTTTCTTTTTCACTAGCATCTACAGCTTTCCTGGCAGACAGTCAGCCTCCGAACCGCAAAGCCCTCGTTGTGTACCCCATCTTCCTCTTCTACTTTGTTATCAGCTGGATGATCCTCACCTTTACACCTCAGTGAGCTCCAATCAGAAGAGACTGTGTGATACAGACTGGAGTGTTTTCATGAACACTGCTGCAGTTAATCATTGGCTTTATCTCTTTCTAATTTATATATAGAGATATAGATATTGTAAAAAGGCAGGTTATGGGATAAAGCCAGAGAACTGCAAAAATTGGTTGTTTGTGTGTCCCTCTTTTTGAAAGATACAGAGGTTCAGCTGCTGAGGGTTTTTTTATTTAGCCCTGCTCTTAACTGCGTTAAATAAAAAATGCCCCCTGTGACAGGGATGATTCTGCCTGAGGAACAGAGCAGGAGATCCTGGAATTTCAAGATGTTGAGTGGATGAAGACGAAGTCGTAGGATGGCACAACTTGGCGGAGTTCTTGCTTGTGCTTGGATTCGCACTGGAGATAAATACGCCTTATGAAATCATAGAACTGCATTGCTGTTACGTATTGGGTAGGGAAGAAATGTGTTTGGCTCCTTTTTCATCCGCTTAGAGAGTGGTGAAATGCATATAGAGTGCGTCATAGGACTCTGAGCTTTGACTTTGGAACTAGATTTCAGCAAAAATAGGGTCTATTTTTCAGTTGATTGGAGCTGGGTGGAAAGGAGCTGCCTTTGCTCACGCTCATGTGCCGTGTGTGTGTGTTTCATCCCTTCATATGTCGAGAAAAAAAAATTCAGCCGAACGCCTTCAACACCGCAATTACATTGACTGATCCACCTATCTCATGAGAGGGAGTGTGTTCACAGTGGGTGGTTACAGATCTTTTCATGTGACCGAGGACTAGAGAGTTAAGTCCTGGAGAAATAGTCAGAACTGGTTTGCCACGGGGGCTTAGCTGTCACTGTGTATTGTGAACAGAAAATTGTCTGGAGATTACCAAGTGAAGTGTCTATATATATGTTAAAAAAAAAAAAAAAAAAAAAATTTCTGTGGGGTAAGCTGAGGTTTTGATACGGAAGGTGTTTGGGTGCTGACTTACCACACCAGGGCTTCTGCCCAAAACTTTTAAAACGGGTTGGAGGAAGGAAACAAATTGTGATGAAGGTGGTGGCTGCTGTGAAGTAGGGTATGGACTCGGTCCTAATTGCTTGTATGTGACTGTGGTTGTTTGCGTGGACAGCTTTTCAATGTACATGCAGACAAATTTGCATTTTGCTTCTTTGTACTTATAGTGAGATGTGAGAAACTTTTCTATAGATTTTGTTGGGTGTTTTTGCTTAATACTTTTTATAAAAGGGGAGGAGGCTTTCTTCTCCAGTCCCCTGCAGGTGCCCTTCTGTACTTTGCCTGGAGAACCACATGCAGGTATATGAGTGTGTCATTTATATTTCAGCATAGGGATTGAGACCCGGAGAATTGCGTTTTGAAAACTGTGCCAAAATTATTTTTGTTGACCGTTATTTTCAGTAAGCAATCCAAGGGGAGAGCTTTGAAACATCTGGGGGTGAAAAAGCTGCTGTTAAAATGTTAGTTTTCCTGAAAATGAGCATCGTATTTCCTTTTTCCTATAGTAACGCAGGTAGACCTGAACCTGATGTACGTGGGTCCTGCGGAGGCGTAAATATGCCCTGTTTATATTTATACATGAAGTGCAGTTTCTGCTATAACACTGTAAGTATTCGATAGTTGGGATGGAAATTTCTGAATGTGCAGATCAAAAGTACATTTTTCATTTCTGGGAGCATAGAGAAGAGGGAAGGACAAATCCGTTGCTCTCAGCAGGGACCCAGCAGAGCAGTCGTTGCCAGCAGCCACGTGCGAAGCCGACGGCTGTTCTGCTGCCTTCCTCATGCCTCCGCCCACGGCTGTCCTCAGGCGCTGCACGGGGAGCTGTAGCGCTCCATGGGTATGAAATGGAAACGGGGAATTTTTAAACTTCCATTGAATTATTACTGGTATGGAATGTGATTTTTCTCTTAAGTGCGCAGTTTTCCATTCATTAGTTTAGCTTCATGAAGCTGAAAAGAAATAAATACTCAAGGGAAGTAGATAGTAGAGCTGTTGATGGCTACAGTGGGATTCGTTGAGCCAGATCTTTTCCCTGCTGCAGCACAAGAATTTAACCATACTTTAGGGAAATCCTTGGGATTCTGTCTCTGTAGTGTCTGGTGACTTAGGCTGTTGTTGTACCTGGAAGATATTGAAGTAACATTGAATTGATCCAGTATCTTTTTGAAAAGAAGGAAAAATATTTTTAAGAGGAATGAAAATCTTGGCTTGGTCCTTGCTTATTTTTCACCTAGGTCTGAGTCTCATGATGTTCTGTGTTGTTGCTCTTGCTTATACAAGAGAGAAGAAAATTATTTTTATGTTACCTAGGTTTACTTTTCAACTGGTCACTGAAGTTTTTAGTCAAGAGGTGGCTTTAATCTGAAAGAATAGGCAGAAATATACTGGTTGTATGGTGAAGGTGTGAATTTTTTGTTTGTTTTTTGACTCATGGCAATCCTATAGTATGGAAGCCATCATCTTCTAAAGCTGTAAAATCTTTCACTGGGTTTGTATCACTAAAGATGTTACTTGCCCTAAGGAAGGATGCAGGTAGGAAGCTAGATTTTCTGAGTTTTCATGCCTCCAGTTGAATAAAGTTACATGTCTTATGTAGGGTGGGTTCTTTAATGGTCGTTTCCCCTAGCAGAGAGTGGAGGAAGTTAATGTCCTCGGCCAGGAGCTGTAGTTGCTGTAGCTCATTGCCTGTTTCACCTTGCTCCTCAGCTTTTGGTCGTGCGGGATGTGCTTGATGCCAATATGCTTAAAAGCACCCAGTGTATCTTGTCAAAAAGAATTTCCCCACTACAACGTTGTAACTGGTTCTGGAAGAGCTTCACTAAGGGTGGCTTGGGCTTTCAACCTGGAGATGATCATCTATTGGAAAACATAGCCTAGAAGTAGAATGTGATTGCTTGGGAACGCAGAGAGCGCAAGTGATGAGCACCAGTGGAAATGAGCATCGAATTGATTGATTGAAAATTAATTGTGTTACGCGACTTCAAAAAATTAAGAGGCCCAAAGTGGAAATATTCCTCAGCCAAACTTTGATGTTCTGTAGAGCCACCGCTTTTATTGGATTGGCTTGCCCCTCTGCAAACGGCTGGTTTCCAAAGCAAACTAGATAAGGGCACGTTAAAGCACAGTTGAAAAGAATTCAGGTTTAGGCAAGCGAAATACCTTGAGCTTATTTGATGTTTGCAGACTGCCCAGAATTCATGTTGACGATTGTCCTTTGAAATGCTGGTATTACATGAGTGTGCCGGGAGTGCCTGTTCATTGAGTGGTCTTTCATCTTGTCTAGCCAGGTACAGAACACATTCCTCCAAAAATGCATGTGGGTAAGTAATCCTTGTAGCCACAGCATGTGGTTTTAATTTGTTAGGAAAATGTATGTGATAACTCAATTGTCGTGCTTTCTGAAGGGAAAAAGTTTCTTCCTTCTTGTTCAAAGCCAGCTGAGGGAAGGGGAGCAAGGAGAAAAGCAGATGTCTTGCCTTTAATGAAGTGTTTTAACTTTTCTGTAGAGAAAGTGGATGATTTCCTGATGCATAAACCAGGCTTTCTTTCCTACTAAGGTTTTTTTAATACTGTTTATCAACTGAAGTTGTTGTATGTGTTTGAATTTAATTTTGACCTATTTAATACCAATGAAAAGACTTTATTTGTTCTAACTTTATAAATTAAAGCACACTGAAAGGCGCATGGGCAGTCTTATGTGTGGATTCAGAGTAGTGTGCACACCGTGCCCTGGGTAGTGGCAGGGAGTGGCCGGACCCACAGGAGCTCCCCAGCCTGGCCACCTGGGTGGGAGCCTCTCAGAAAGCACAGAGCCACCTGAAGGGATCCTGCCAGTACTTGGACAAGGAAAGGCGTTTTATACGGCCTGGGAGTTTGGAGTGAATTAAAAGAAGGTGGGGCAGAAAACCATCCAAGTTCTCTACTCCTGTGCCTGTGGAATGCTTTGAAGCATTTGAAACATGTGCCTGCATCATGAGTTAATAGGTGTTGGTAGAAGCACCAGGGTGTTGTATAAATCCTTTTCCCCTCCACTGAAAGAGCATTGCTGCTGTTAGAGATATGTGTGAGTACTTGGATGTTCCCATGTCCTAGACGGTTGGACTAGTGTTTCCTTGGAGCGAGGGCCAGAGCGAGCATTCAGTCTGTGTGTGCTGGGCCGTTGTCCTGCGCTAGGCAGTGCTTGGGGGACTCAGCACTTCTGCAGAGGGAAAAGCTCTGAAGTTCTTGTTACAGGTCTGTGAGAGGTGCTCAAGTGTCTGTAATGCTCAGGTTCAAGAATGAGACAGCGAAGGGGAGCTGTTGGTAGCAGCAGCAGGATAGAAGGGTGGAAGCCTCCCTAGGTCCCTGCCCAGCACTTCTCCCTGGCCCATGCCGAGCAGCATACGTCGGGCACTGCCAGGACCCATTGAGGCTGAGCCGTGACGTCGGGTTGCTCATTCTTGAACCTTGCCTGTGCTCCTGTCTGGTTGCAGGCTCTGCAATGGTAACGAAGAGCTGTGCTGGCCCACCCTGCAATCGGTGTACCTGCAGGCAGCCCCTCTGCCTGCGGCTGCAGGGGAAAAAGGTCTTGGCCACCACCCCACTGGCAGCCCTGCCCCTGCGGCACTTACTGGGACTCGGCCTGCCGTGATTAAAATATGAGGGGACTAAATAAGACATGGGTGAAGAAGGGCAGAAACTTGCTGGGAAGGTAGTCTAATAAATGAATGGCAATTAAAGCCCATCCCTGACCGGTATGGGAATTTGAGGCAGTTGCCTGAAGCACATCCTTGCCCTTGCACTGTGCCATGGGTGGCAGCGGGGACTCTCCCACAAGTCTCACACCTTGATGGCTGAGGAGCCTTCCCTTGGAGGTGGTGGCAGCGGAGACATGGCTGACCCGGCTCCAGGGTCTGGCTGGAGAAGGCCAAAACTTCCCGGTGATCACAAGAGGGCGGCATGACTTTGTAGTCCCTCAGAGCCTAGCTTTTTCTAGCCCGCGCTCCTCCCTCCCGCCCCC